AAAAAAAAATGTACCTAATTTGTGAAGGATTTTGCAATCATGGAATATAGCGTGTGATCAAACACTTTCATTATTTTGGTGACCACAGCAAATTGTTGGGACGTGTAGTAGGTAAGACTTTGGTAATTTGATTAAATTAATTTCTTAAACGGGTTCATATGTTATATATTTTCATAAGAAAAAATTATTATATAGAATGTCACATTTTTTTTTCATAATTTTTTTTTGTTAGAGTATAACTGATCGATCAAATTTTTATTTTAAATGCAGAGATTTAAACAAATAATTAAATAATGTTAGAAAAGGTGAGGAAATGGAAAAGTCAGCCAGGAATGTTTTTGGCATGCAATGAATGACGTATGTATGCTGCTCACGTATAAACATTAATTTTCTTTTGGTACACGGACCTCCGGTTTCCGGATCTACAGGGGAACCGATTAATCCGGAATCGAGCCAATTTAAAATTAACTTCTAATTTAAAATTAATTTCTAATGATAGAAAATGCTACAGTCTCGTTACGGAACTATTTTGTTGGGATTTATAACCGCCAGATCATCGTATAACCGTCGTGAATAGTTGATCTAACGGTTATAAACTCTGACGAAATGGTGCCGTAACGGGACCGTAGAATCTTTATCGGAAAAAAATATACTTTTTCTATAGAATATATTAATGTTGACATAAAAGTTTTATAAAAGGGATTAAATGGTTATTCTTAAATATTAAATATTATAATTATCCTTTTTTACATATAGTTTATTTTCCTCCACATCACAGCAACTCATAACCATCATAACTCTAACAACCAATCGAGTAAACATTAAACAAGCTTGAATCTCACTTGTTCGCGAACATTTAAATGTGCACAATCAGAAAATTCATTGGTTAGCAAAGACATTAAAACCTCACTCATGAAAAATAAAAATGTAAATATTGTGAGTAATTAGTAAAAGGGGTAAAATCAAAATTACCAGCTCTCCATGAGAACCTTATCCTGATTCATGAGAAGCAGAGGAGCCATGGAAACGCCATCTTCGTTCTTCGTCAGGAACTTGCAGACCGGCGCCAGCCCGTACAGCCGCTCGGAGCCGCCGTCGGGGAGCGGCCTCAGGCGGCAGCTCACGACGGAGTAGGTCGCGAGAAGCCGGAGGATCCGGTCGATCATGACACGCGCCTCCGGGTTGGCTGTGGGGAGCTGGGCGGCGAGATCTGCCGGCGAGACCCACGCGCCGTCGCCGGCCCGGCGGATGAGCTCGATCAGGTCGAGCTCGATGGCGGACTTGAGGACCATCGGCAGAACGGAGGCGCTCGCCAGCTGCATGGCGAACAGGAAGGCCTCCTCCTCGCCGGAGGATGGATCCGCCACTGTTGAGCCGCTGATGTTTTTCGCCGTCGACCCCATTTTTTT